CTCTCTCTCTCTCTCTCTCTCTCCCTCCTAGAAATAAATAAAACATTAAAAAAAAAAAAAAAAATTTAAAGTCAATGTTTCCAATAAACTATTTGTAAAAAAAAAAAAAAAAAAAAAAGATGGAGAGGGAAAAAACAAATAAATAAATAAATAAAATCAATGTTTCCTTTGTTATAATGCTAAACTGAAGGAGTACCTTTCTTCAGGGTAGTCTTTTCTCTTCCAATAGCACTGTTTTCTTAGCCCTTCTAAAACAATCACTGTATTTCTGACACATATTACTATCATTAGTAGTTGTACTGTGGAATCAGAATAGGCTTCAGGAGTCGTCTGGCCCTGGTATGAGAAGCTTCCCCAAAAGCTCGTGAATAATAAGGATCATGTCTATGAAGGTCTCTTATTCTTGGATGGCCTTGGGAGGACATCAGGGTATTGGGAACCATTAGGCTTCTGAGAAACGGTTGAGCAGGAAGATTTAAGAACAGTTCACCAGCTGGGAATACAAGTGTGAAAATGAGACAAATCAAGGCCCTGGGAAACCAGGCACATCCAACATCTGCTCTGCCCCCACCCTCCCTTTCCATCATCCATCTAGCTAAGCAGAACCACCAAGGATGAAGTGAGAGTTCCAGCTTCTAGGCTGGGGACATGAAAATCACCTTCTTACTGGTTTTTGTTCTTTCTTCCCTGGAGAAGGAACAGCTGCCAGTGACGAAACTCTTCCTTTTTGCCGGACCCATGTTTCTCAAAGTACCTAGACTTTAAAAAGCAAACCGGTCATCACGAAGCAAATAGCATCGACTTCGTTCATTCTGACTGCACCAGTTATTTCCAAACGATAGGTGGTTCTAAATAAGCAAAACACTTGGAGTAGATACAACCTCTTGAGAAGTTTGCAAGACAAAACAAGTTGCTTTAAAAAAAATCCAAAGCTGGGGCCCCTGGGTGGCTCAGTTGGTTAAGCATCTGACTTCAGCCCAGGTCATGATCTCACAGTTCGTGGGTTCGAGCCCCATGTTGGGCTCTGTGCTAACAGCTCAGAGCCTGGAGCCTGTTTCAGATTCTGTGTCTCCCTCTCTCTCTGCCCCTCCCCCACTCATGCTGTCTCTCAGAAATAAATAAAACATTAAAAAAAATCCAGAGCTTATGAAATTCATAATTTCTAGAGACTCGATAAGCGTATCAATCATTTTCACATCCAAAAATTAGTTTTTACCAGTAAGAGTACTCTTTTATTGGTGAAGGATTGTCATGCATGGTGGAACCATATAGATTTTTTTTTTTTCAGCTCTGCTCAGAATAAACACAAATTCTTACCTATGTGAATCTATTTATGGCTGGTGCTAAGTAACGAAACAATGGGTCTATTGTGGCAAAAACATACACATTTCTGTCAGGCTGGCCTCCTTCTGCCACTGCCCACTGCATCACCTACCCTCCCTCCAATTTTCTAAGAAAGTGAGGTTTTACTCTATATCCATAAGAGAAGGGTAATGCTCTCCTCCCTCGGGCGGGCCTGTCATATCAGAGAATGTTGTGGGCTGCATGCTCATTTTGCTGGGGATAATAAACATGATGAAACTAGGCACATGAATCAGGGCTACCCAGCACCAGGCAGTGCTAAGCACTTTACATGAAACATCCCACTTAATTCAGTACAGGTGTGTCTATAACAAAGCCCACGCTCTTAACCATGAAGCTACTTTCTTCTGGAAGTCTTGGGGAAAGTTAAGCCATGTCAGACTCTCAGAGCTGGGATCCAAAGGAGTCCCAGACGCATGTTCGCCCTTCCCAGCCACTGATGCTCCACCCCCCCACCTCCAGCCCAGTGCATTTATATCAAAGATTATCGGTCAGTCAATCAATCATGCAGCTACCTGGGGGTGATGACAGTTGGCTTCTGGTTGCCTTTCTGCCGGCCTAACTTACCTTCCAGCTAAGGAGCCCTGCATTCTGACAGCTTACTAAACACTCCTCTCTCTCATGCCCTGTCTGTGCAGTTGAAGCAATACACTTGGGAAGCCTTATAGCTGCCCAGGGCTACATCTTTCCAATCTCGGATCACGTTCTCACCATGAAGGATGACAGCACCTTCTACCGTTTCCAGGTAGGCCTGCCAGCTCCCCCTTCTGAAGAACGTTCTCTTATTATCTGATCTCAGATTCAAACTACCTACAAAACTGAGGCTATTTAAGGGAATGGCCCTTATCTCTCCCAGACACTGGGAAGGCCAAACAAGCTTTGATCTGAGTCATTTGTTGTTGGGGTGGGCACATTTCACATGTATTTCCTCATTCATTCTGAAGAACAAGCTTTTAAGGACATATATCATCCATTTGACAGATGAGAACACTGAGATGCTCCAAGGTTTAATAAATCCAGGAGGTGGCCTTGACTGAGCGTCAGTCAGCCTGGTGGCAAAGTCCTTGATCTTTCTGCTCTGCCAGGCTGCCTTCCTGGTGTGAAGTTTTATCCACTACCTAACCCCTCCCACTCCTTTTCTCAGGTCCTGTCCTAGAGGGAAATAGGGCAGAGGCTAAGAGGCTGTGTCAAGGTCAACACCAAAGGGTTTGGAGCGGAGTTTTTTATTCAGGGTCAAAGGGCATCTTAGTCTGTTCTGGCTACTATAGCAAAACACCAGAGACTGGGGGGCTTAAACAAGAGAAATTTCTCACAGTTCTGCAGGCTGCAAGTCCAGGGTCCAGGGTCCAGTTTAGGTCAGTGGTGAGAGGGCTCACCCAGGCTCTCAGACAGCCACTCCTCACTGTGTGCTCTTCACATAGTGGAGAGAGGAAACAAACTCTCTGGTGTTCCCTTTCATAAGGACACTAATCCTATGGATCAGGGCCCTACCCTGTCACCTCGCTTAACCCTAATTACTTCCTTACTCCAAGCACAGCCACACTGTGGGTTAGGGTTTCCACATATCAGTGTTAGGCGACACAAGTCAAAGAGAGAAAAGGAACTTGGCACTTGTGTGTCCAGGAAACAGTGCTAGCCTGACTTCTGCATTAGACCTCTATCGCCTTGGAATAAGAAATGTTTACCCTATAAGCATCTCAGTTTTGCATTTATTTTGCTTACCTTGGATTTCATTTCTCAGTAACCAGATTAAAATGCCGACAGCCTCAGCTGCATTAGGAACGGGAGAGAGTAGGGGGTTTGGTGTCAGCACGAAGGAGCCAGGGCAGAGCCTGTCATGGGGAGGGGTCCTCCTTGGGTGCAGGAGAGGGTGGACTCAGGCCCCAGGCAGCGGAGGGCAGGTGGCTGGTGGGCCTCTGAGTCCTGACGCCTGTGCTCTTTTGCAGGCCCCATACTTTTGGCCTTCAAACTGCTGGGAGCCTGAAAACACCGACTACGGTGAGCAGTGACAAGATGTCACTCCTGGGAGCGTGGAAGACAAATGCTTGGTGTCTGGGTGACTGCCGCACAGAGAGGAGGGGTCGTTATCCCACCCAGTCATTTTCCCACCATTGACACGTAATAAGCTCCCTGTTCCACATAATGAAGAAAGGCAGAGTGCACTGAAAGTTGCAGCCTTTGGAAGGGAATGGGGGAAGGGAAGAAATGTTCTATCAAGCTGGCCAGTATGCTGATTCTGTGGTGCCGGGGAGAACCAAGACAGTGTTTGCTGACCCCTCCTTTCTGGGGCAGGGTTTCAGGGAGGGCTAGATCAAGGGGCCACCCACCACCCCCACCCCAGCCCTTTCTATTCTCACAGACTTGTTAAGAGTTATTAATAATCCATTGGTGTTTTCGATAGTTAGATAGTAGAAGCATCAGTATTGGAACTCAGATCTGCGTGGCTTCAAGGCCCATGCTCCTTTCATGGTCTGTCCCTTAGCACAGAGTCCTTGTCACTGACTTAGCTGCTGAGGCGGTCCACGGTGGCCCTCCTTGGGCCCGGGGCACTTGGTGAGACCCCAGCTTCTCCCCAAGCTCTTCGCAGGATTTCTCGCATTGGGGAGACAGAGGCAGCTGCAGAGAATGGAGGGGCACGTGCAGCTGGGTGGTGTTTAGGGAAGCCTGTGCAGGAGACTGTGTGATAACTACACTGTCTGGATCACTCCCACCAGCAGCAGGTGGGAGCAGTGCCGAGGGTGGGGTGCGGACGAGCCATTGGCTGATAAGGCTACAGTTGTGTTTCCAGGTCTCGAGGACGGTCTGATGCAGGGGACAGGGCCCTCTGATGGTCTCTGCAGCTGGCTGCAGGCACCACTGCGGGTCCCTCTGGAACAGGGCTCAGCTCTAAATGATGTGATAAGTGGATAAGCAAGGCTTTCAACTCAGAATCAGAACTACATTTGGCTATTCTCAAAATTAGTTCTTCTGGGGCTGAAACATTGGTCACAAAAGCCCAACCCAGAACTTGATTCATCATGGCTCAGTTCCATGCAGCAAGCAGGTGCCTTGTGAATGTAAAAACCAATAATTTTGCAGGCAGTGGAGAGAGGAGGAGGATGGCGAGACCAAATAACTAGACTCCAGTAAGATGAAAATATTATGAGCCCATAAAGCTTAGGCATTTCACACTGTATACACCAGAACCTAGTTCCCTTTCCCTAGAGGGATACTGCACGTCATAATTTGAGTTGTGCAGCATGAACAAGGATAGAAATGACAATTTATATAAGACTTTCATTAAAGCAAAATTATTTGGAATTCCTGTGCCTTGACTTTGGATGGAGAAGGCAAGGTGCGGGCTGCAAAAGTACTCACCAGCATTTACAAAGGTCAGTCAGAAAATCGAAGTTTTTGCCAAGGGAGAATTCAGAACAGCAGCTCCAAGATCAACGGGCACCACTAGCTGTGAGACCTTGGCAAGTTACTTAACCTCTCTGTGCTTCAGAAATGTCATGTGAAGATGAGAATAATAATAGTACCCATTTGCTAGCATTGTTTTATTAAGATGAAATAAAATGCCTGTAAAGTTTGGTGTGTGGCCACAGTAAGGAGTCAATAAAAACCATGGTGGTGGTGGTTAGTATTCTTATTACTAAAGCAATGTTTGACAATATTAGTTCCATGTGGCCATCTTGCCAGAGAGGATGTAAAACCAAAGCTAAGAACTCAGAATAGGCATAATTTGGATTGATGAAGAACCAGAAACTTTCATTCATTCCACATACCTTTACTGATCACCAACTCTGTGTCTGTTGCTATGGCATAGATTTGAGTAAGTCACAGTCTTACCATCCAAGTACTCCAGGCTGGGGGAGGTAGCGTGATGAGGAGGAAGAGGGCAGTGAGGAGTCTAATCTGAGTATTCAAAGGTTTCCTGTTGATGAAGAATGACTGAGAAGGTTGAATAGCTTGGGGAGGGACGGGTTTATAAAAAAGCTGTCAGAGTCAAGGTGAGACATTGAAAATGGATGCAGCAGCTTTAGGGAATCCCAACAATGGAGAATGACCAGGGAAAAGTTCCCTCATCCGTAAACTGAGGGTAATCACAGAACACACCTCATAGGGTTATTATGAGGATTAAGTGAGTGAACATTTGGAGAGGCTCTACAATGGCACCTGACATTCAATGAGCTTCACTTAGGGGGGTAGTGACTATTGTGGTGAGACCTTAGCACATAGAACAGTGGTTGGCACAACAGAGGTACTCAGTAAATGCTTGAATGAGTGACTAAATGAATACATGAATGAGCAAATGAAGTAACAAATGTCATAATGGAAAAAGCTCTGAACTGGGCATCAGTTCTAATTCCACTTCCACCACTAACTGGCCTAGGGATTAATCACTTCACCTCTCTGGGCCTTTGGTTTTCCCATCTGGCAACACGGGGCCTGTACTTAATGGCCACCAGGGTTCCTTCCAATGCTAAAACCCCAGTGTACTAAAAAGTGATTCCAGGGTATGAGGAAAACAGAGAAATACATGTTTTACAAGTTCCCTGGTTTAAGAGATTAAGGTAAATGATATCACTTGTAAGGACAAAGTTTGAAAAGGGAGTCAGTTCTTTAAATACATTGAAATAGGATGAGGTCATTATTTTTTAATTGTTTAATTGCACATATAGTATATGAGTCCATTCACTTCATAATATTTTTTATGTTTCCTATTTTTATCATGGTGAGATGCGGTGAGCTTGAGATGGCAGTGGGTCATCCAAGTGATGTGCCAGGAGGTGGGATTGCCCGGTGTGAGGGCAAGGAGACAAAGATTTCTCAGTGAGAAATTAAATATCCAAATAAAACCAACATGTGAGCTTAAAGCAAGTCCCCCAGATGCCCTGTGCTAGGACTGACTGTCATTGTCTATAGCCATTTGATTGGTCAGATATTACAGCAAGCACTGTTGAAGGCACCATAGCCGTGCAGACAAGCCCCAAGTTCTATGCCAAGAAAAGGTTCATTCAACAGCTACATTCTACCTCCCTCATTGTGCTGAACAGACTCCCTAACATGTGACATTAGTCACAGAGGAAGCAAGTTGAGACCATGTGACCTTGTAGCTCGTGGTCATCTGGAATGGTGCCACCTTTGCATTCCATGTGTGATATTTTACTTCACGACCAAGCTGGCCCATGTTGACCCAGATGTGTTAGAGGTTTCTCAGGATGACTGTGCTCAAATAAAGGCCATAGCCCAACCTGCGTTGAACTGTCCTGCGTTAGTGCAACACACCCTCTGGGACAGCACTGTCACAACAGCTTTCACCTCCACTGAGTTGTGCTGCTCCTTTGTCAATGAGACCAGCTCATTGGTGGGGCTGGTGACATGTCATGCCTCCTCTGTAGGTAACCTCCAATTCCATAGGCTGCCTAAATGGTGGTCCAGGAGACCAAAGGAGGCACCTTGTAATAGAGCATACGACCCTTCATCAGAAATGATGGAGAGTTGTACCTGCCTGGTTCTTTGCAAAAGATAGTAAGTGGAGAATTCTGAAGAAGAGATACAGCCTTACCTAATCTCTTCATATCAACATAAGCTCTACAAAAGAATGATCATTTGATGGCTTTTTGAGATCGGACCAAAGACCCTCTTTGATTATGGGCCATAATCATTTCAGTTTCTTTCTTAATTCAGCCACACTCAAGATAAACCATCCAGTTTTGGCACCTTTAAAATGTATCAAGAATTTAAAAACACTTTTGAAGTAACCTGTATGTTGACCCCTTTCAAATTTTTATTATTTTTTCCCTTTTTTTTTCAGTTATTTCACCTCTACCAAACTCATTAGCAATTGTCTTAGCCAACTCTTCTTTATCAAGTTGTTCCAAACCACTCACCTGGGTCTTCATAGAAACACCTCTCTCTTTTCACACTAATTTCATCAGTGAAATGTAATATTTAGTGAACTTACAGGTGTGCCTGACATAAACAGATTTGTGAACAAACACAACTGACTCTCATCCACATACAGCTCAACTGATGTGAGCAGAAATGTAGGCTGCCGGCCACGAGGTTCCAGCATACTGTAAGCTGCCATCAGCAAGTTTTTCATATCACATGGAGGAGGTTTGTTGATCCAACAAGGAGTTAACTAGATCTCCTAGTCTAACTAAGTTGGTAAACCACAGGTCAGCCACACGTCCTCTCTGACCCTGTCTCCTGGCCATTCATACCATTCGTCTATTGTCTTCCCTGGATCATTCTACTTGGCACTGGAGAAGGAGGGAGATACTGAAGAAGCAAAGGTAGAGAGAGGACGTGATGAAGGAAGCCATGTTTGAGAAAGAATCCTCCCTTAGCTTGGGAAGAGAGACCCTAATTGTCCACCATTTCCACTGTTCATTCATTCTACCTGATAGGCCAGCCCTGGTGCTAGGTGTAGAGATTCAAGCTGAGTAGGACACATCCTATGCCTTTGAGGAGCTCTCTGCCTACAGCTAGGGGACAGTCTAGTAAACCCATGATTACAGTGCCCTGGAATTAAGTTCCATGGGTGAGGGTGGGTAAACGCTATTGGGAAAACTGAGCTGGGTCTTCCGAGATTAGTAGGAGGTTGCCAGATTTTCCATGTGGAGAACACATAGGCAGAGGAGTAGAACTGAAGGGTCTGGTAGCCTCCCATGCCCAAGGGAGGCAGGGAGGGAAGAGGCTGACAAGGTAAGGAGACTGGAGCTTAAAGAACTAAGCACGCCACCCTAAGGAGCTTGGCTGCTCTTCTAAGGTCACTGAGGAGGCAATGCAGAGAGTATAGGCAGGAAGGTCACATGATCTTATTTGTGAAAGATGACCCTGGTGGAGGATGCTTGGGTGAGGCAGAGTGAGGAGGATGAAAGGGAGCAGTCAAGACGAGAAGATGGAGTTCTCATCCAATCCTGACCTTGAAGGAAGATTTCTGGAGGTTAGATGTCATGGCTTCCACACAGAAACATATTCTGCTCAGCGCAGCACTGGGCTCGCTGGGAGGGCTGGCTGAATAGCTGGGTGGATGAGTGGATGGAGAGATGGATGGGTGGCTCTGTGACGCCACCACACTGCTGGGTCTGCACGTGTAGTAATTTCTCTTCTTCCCTCAGCCATCTATCTCTGTAAGAGGACAATGCAGAATAAAGCGAGGCTGGAACTGGCAGATTATGAAGCAGTAAGTATGGTTATTTTGTAGCTTACGTGTGGGAGGAGAGTAAAACCCTATCTGCAGCTCTGTTTCTGCTTCTCTCTTTCCTCTTTTCTCTCCCTGGTTCCTTTCAGGCAGTGGAAAGGAAGTGTCTTTTATTTCCCCTCTGTTCTCACCTCCTCTACCCATGCAATAAAATTGCACCTTTATGTAAAGAGCTCTTAAAACTCAGCAATAAGAAAACAAACAGCTCAAAAATGGGCAAAGACGTGAACAGGCACTTCACCAGAGAGGACGTCGGATGACAAATAAGCACTCTAAGAGATGTTCAACAGCATCATTCATTAGGGAAACAAAGATTGACTCCCTGGTGAGGTACCACTACATACCTGGTAGAGTGGCTAAAATAAAAGGTACTGATAATGCCACGTGGGAATGCAAAATGGCACAGCCACTCTGGAAAATGGTCTGGCAGTTTCTTACAAAGGTAAACATACACTTCCCATACAACCAAGTAATCCTACTCCTAGGTAGGCACCCCAGAGAAATCAGAACTTCTGTTCACACAAAAACCTGCTTACAGCACCTCTGTTTGTGGTGACCAAACAAAAACAACCCAAATGCACTTTTAAGAGGTGAATGGCTAGGGGTACCTGGGTGGTTCAGTCAGTTAAGTGTCTGACTCTCGATTTCAGCTCAGGTCGTAATCTCACGGTTCATGAAGTCGAGCCCCATGTTGGGCTCTGTACTGAATGTGGAGCCTTGTTGGGATTCTCTCTCTGTCTCAAAAATAAATAAACTTAAAAAACACCTAAGTGTGTAGGAACATTATGATCTTCCCAAGCAAATCCTACAATGGCTGTTCTGTGGATCTGAGCATCCTATTCCTGTCCCCTCATGTGCCAGCTGTCACCCCTCTCTCAGAAGATCGCTGTCCTATTTTTGTGCACCCACTGTGAAGCACTATATCGTTTCCTTAACACAACCTACCAGAAATACCCAGCCTACAGAAACGTGTGGCCCCTCCACTCTGTGTCTCTCTTTCCTGTATTTTCCACGTTTTAGAAAAAAGAGAATTTTCCATGTGTTCCATGTTTAGAAAAACAGAAACAAGACAGCATCAACTTCTGATATATTTTATCCAGTTGTCTCTTCTCCTACCATATATAATGTTTTGTTTTGATATTTGTAAAGGATATGGCAGTAAGATGTTCTTTCAGGTTGAATTTCTGTCTAAAAGTGGTTATAAATTTTAAAAAAGAATTTTGTTTTCAAAATTCAGTAATTTTATTAACTTTTTTCACATGATGTATTCTCTTGCTAAAACCCAAATTTCAAACAGCAAACAAAGGAGAGGAAAGAACCCACAATCCTTCTCCTCTAACCTTTTTTCTGTACATACATTTTTTTCTTTGCAAAAAAAAATCTGAATCCTACCCTGAACATTGTCCAGTAAGCTGCTTCTTTCCCCAATCATATATTGTAAGTATGTTGAGAGTCTTTCCATATTAGTAATGATAATCCACATTATTGTTTTTATTTTTATTTTTTTATTTTTGAGAGAGAGAGAGAGAGAGAGAGAGTGAGTGGTAGATGGGATGGGGAGAGAGGGAGACACAGAATCTGAAGCAGGCTCCAGGTTCCGAACTGTCAGCACAGAGCCCAACACGGGGCTCGAACTCATGAACTATGAAATCATGACGTGGGCCAAAATCAGACGCTTAACTGACTGAGCCACCCAGGCACCACCACATTATTGTTTTTAATGGCTGCCTAGTGTTCCATGGCATGACTGGGTCATAATTTATGAAACCGCTCCCTAATTGACTGACATTTAGGCATCACTGGCTTTGCTTCCTATGAACAGTGGAAAAATCACAGAAAGCTTTTTTGAGGTACTCATACACTGAGCCTTGGTAATAACTGAGTTTATGTGTGTTGATCTCAACTGAAGCTCTTTTTATATTAATAATCCACTAATGAGGGTAATCAATTAATGTTGGCATGAGCTCTATGAAAATACATAGCATAATGTGGGTTCTACCCTTGCATTCCATCAGAATTAGGTGGCTCATTAGGGGACCTGTCAAACACCCCCTCCTCACTGTCCTTTTGTGCCAGCAGGTGAGCCTACAGACTTAGAGAAAAGGCTTCTCCCCTCTTCCTCTAAAGCCAGCCCTGGATGCCTTTTCTTTCTTTCTGGTTTTGGGTTTTCCTTTCATGAACATCACAAATATAGACACTCCCTTTTTCTCCCACTTTTGAATCCAGACTCTCAAAGGCATGAGTGCCAGGTCATCAGGGTTCTTTCTTGCCACCTTCCCTGGGCCGTTTGCTGGAAGATGAGTCTTGAGAAATCTATTCTTGGTTCTGCTCACGGAGATGTCCAATAGGCTGCCAAGAGCCTCCTCGTCCCTTCCCCAAATCCTGCGTGAATACCCACAAATCCTTCTTCCTGCCTTCAGTGGCCTTGATGACAAGTGCTACGTGAGTCGTGTTCTTGTAAAACACACAAGAGAAGAGGAATCAGGTGAACCAGAGACTTCAGATGTAGTGGGTGTGTAAATGAACATTAATAATCCTACTCCATACAGCAGAGTTTGGTGCAAAATCACACTGGGTTCACATCCAGTGGATTTAAAGTGGGGGCTCTGCTGCTCTGTTGAGAATAACCAAAATAGATGACTGCCTTGTAATAAGCATAGGTGTCAATGTGCAAACTTACGAGGATTAATGCCTTCTCGTTGATTTTCATTTCTCATTAGGAAAACTTAGCAAGACTCCAGAGGGCCTTTGCAAGGAAGTGGGAGTTCATCTTTATGCAAGCAGAAGCACAAGTGAAGTAGGTGAACTTGACAGAGACCCTGGGAAAGTGAAACAGACTCTCTGGACTATGGAGGTGGTGTGAGAGTGGTATTGCCAAAGCGGGGTTTCCTTCCACGGCCGGCCAGCTGTGGTCAGATGCTGTCATCTTGCATGAGAGCAGCAGAGTAGAAACCAAGGTCAAGGTGGATAAATTTCATCTTTGTCATCAATGGCACACTGAAATAATTTCAAAAGTGTGTGTTCTAGCAGGCAATGGGCTTGCTCCCCAATGTAGAACTCTAGTTAGAAGAAGATATTCCTATTTCCTAAAGAGATTTCCAATAATCCTTCTGTGCTTAGGGGCTGAAAAACATCAGACCCACTTTTCCTGTGGGTCTGAAGACTTTGCCTTCAGAGGAAAACATGTTGGAGTTTTAGGGAGACCAACCCGTCTCCCTTTCCCTCCAGGGGAGGGGTTCAGAACCAATCAAAAATAAGGCACAGAAGTCAGACACTGGAGTCCAGTGTGTTAAGGTTATTACTGATACAAGCCAGTTTATAGGGCATGACTTTGGATCTGTGACCACAGATCTTTACCCCGGAATGAAACTCGTCCTTGCTGGGCAAAGCTAGATATCTGCAGAGCCTCCCACCCCAGGGCAGAGTTGACCCCTATAAGTTCACTGCGTGTGGAGTGAACAGAGTGCTGGACAGGGCCCAGCAAGAACCGACCTGAGCTTTCTCAGTTTCCTCTTTCAGATCTGCCAGTAAAGCTAAGGCCCTCTTTCTCCCCCAGCACAAGAAATGAGAGACTAGCTGGAGTGTTTTCCCCGTATGTTTCCCTACCAAGGAGTCCAGTGGAAATCCCTTCCTCTCTAAGAAAACACGAGAAGTGTGCAATAAATGTCCGCAAACATTCTTGTCAACCCGATCCGTTCAGTTCTGGGAAATGAACCTTTTCAGGTTGAGTTCTATCTGGCCCTTTCCAGCAATGGTCTCTGGTTTTGCAGGGAGTGTGAAGGGATGGAGGAGGGGTGAGAAAGAGACCCTGAGCTGGGGCAAGGCACCAGTTGTCCCTGAGCAGACCCCCGTGGGTCCACAGTGGAACCCCTCCGCACTCCGTGGGCAGTGTTGCAGCCTCGTCCCCTAGGGCCGGTTCCTGGCTGTGTGCGTGAGCCTTGATCACAGGTGTGGTCATAGTTGGAAATGACCCGATGTCTCTGAGTCCTGTGGCTGGCACGGTGCCGTTGCTCTCGCCCTCCCTCTGCAGTCTCTGGCTTTCCCCTCTGCCCACGATTGCACACACCTGCAGAGCACCCTGGTGCCGCCGGCAGCCTAGGAGGAGGTGGGCACCAGGCACCGGATGCTCAGCTGTCCCTCTGGAGCCATGGTGGACCCCGAGGAAAGAGAAAATGGGAGAGCAGGAAGGAGGCAGAATTGAGCCTGTGGACTCAGCAGCCACTGGGAACCAGAGGGGCGCTAATTTTCACTTTCAGGGTCACACGGCATCGCATGTTAAAAAGAGGGGAAATTATCACTTTGTACATATATGGTATTTCTCGATTAACTTTTCTGATTAACTCCCGATTACTTTATAATTGTGGGCCATTGAAGTACACAGTAATTATCGCAAAAATCACAGGGTGATTATGGTTTATTTCAGGTCAGTAAACTAAAGTGTTCCCAAGAGAGCCAAGAACCAGAAGTTACACAATAATCGGTTACTTTTTACTTAGAGAGGCAATACGAAGTAATACAGGCTTAGGGGGAAAAAAACCAAACAAACCTCTTATCTGTGTTCCTGATCAGAACATAAAGAATCCTTTGTCACCTGTAATTTCCCTCTTGCAATTTGTGCCTCCCCGAACTGAGGCCAGTGATATTTGCCTCCTGGATCTTGTTACATACTAAGGCTGTTCCTCTGCTTTTAGAAAGCAGATGGTTGAAGTGACTTTTAAAACATGTAATTGCAGCATTTTGAAGACACTTCTATTGACTCTGAATCTAAAGCAAACTTTCAAATTTGAAGATGCAACACTACAAACCTATGGTTATAATTCTTTCCTATAATTTGAATATGCGGTATCCGCGTTGGGAGAGGGGGGCAGGGGCAAGTCCACAGAAAATTCAGTTCTGAATAATCTAAATCATAATCACTCAAATGGACAGTCAGATTCTGGTTCTCTCCTTGGGTCCACCATGCTCATTCCACGTCTCTGATGATTTGCAGTCTAGCTGAAAAGAAGTCCTCTTCCCAAGTGTGGACTTCTTGAGGTTTCCTTGAGGGAATCGTCCACCCCTGGTTTACAGCTGTGCAGAGAGCAGGGATCACACAGGTGCCAAGAGCCCTGTGTTCACCAAGCTCCTAGAAGCAGGAGGCTCTGATTTCTTTTCTTTGTTATTTCAGGATAGATCGGAAAAAGGACAAGACGGAAAGGAAAATTTTGGATAGTCAAGAACGGGCCTTTTGGGATGTGCACAGGCCAGTGGTAAGAAAGCTTTGCTTGGTCCCCTATGCTTTTGGTTGGGTTCTTTTGTTTGTTTGTTTTGTTCATTTTCCCTCTTCCTTCGCTTGAAAGAAAAGACTCTCTTTAGCCACCAGGTGTCTCATTCTTAAAATTAAAGGAAATTGCTAAACTTTGTGAAATTGGTTTTGCCATTCAGTCAACATAATCTCAGTATATTGTTTGGAATGGATCTCAGTTCCAGCTTTTAAAAAGTATTCATCCATGACAATACGGAATTGGAAAAGGGGCGCTGTGGGAAGCGCCCCTGGAGACCTCTGGACCCCTGAGGTTTACCGCTCACAAAATAACCAGTTTCCATTTCTACTGTCATCCGACTCTAAAACTTAGAATCATCTCCAAATGCGGCCCATTCTCAACATTCACAGTAATTACATTCTGTGAAGTTGCTGGGTACTGAATTAGTGAAGGCTGAGCTGTTATCCAGGGAGAAATACAGGGTTAGGTTCCTGTGATCCTCTGGTCACAGCATTTTCTTCAAGTGATCGAAACGTAACCACATCTAAGGTCTGTTTCCGTTTAAAGACATTTTATGTAATATATACCGTCGATTCATTAATACTGACCTCCTGGCCAACAGCCCTATGGCTCACGCCCGAAGGAAGTTGACCTGACGCGCTGCGGCCTCTGCCAAGCACCCCATGGCCTTCTTGCACATAGGAATGCTAGACAGCACTTGAGCACGATGGTTGAGAGTCACCCAAAACAGCAAAATCACCAACAAGATGCACAGAAATGTGGAAACGGTGGTACTAAATAGACCTTGAAAAGGGCATTCATTTACAGTAGGAGATGAGACAGGAAGACAGAATGTCCGCTAATTGGGCCTCACCGGGAACAGGCACACATCTCACAATTTTTGCTGCTCTGCCCAGGTCCTCAAAGAATCACGAATGCACAGCCCATACTGATTTGGGAGTTTGGAGCAAATGTTAGCTCATAGGTGCATTCACAAAGACAAAATCCACGAATGATGAGGTTCGATGTAGTTCTAATTTCCATTATTAAAACAAACCTTGCATCTCCCTCATGAAAAGCAACTAGAGCGAGGATACTATGCCAGCCCTTCCTAAGAGCTGGTTAAAAGCAAAACCAACAAAAAAAATTCCCCATCGTGGTATTGGATTGTTTTTAGATGGTTCGGTGTGTGTCGTGATTGAAACTCTCTGGCCCCTCTGAGTGAATAATAAGTTTAGTCTTATAAACGGCACACTCTATCCTGCCCATATCATCCCTAGGCAGTGTGAGGCAGGCTTGTATTATTTCACGTGAGAACTCTTTGCAGGAACACATATTGAAGATGGAACGTCTTTGTGAAGGACATAGTAAGTGGCAAAATGGAGACGATCATGTATTATCTGCAATGGGAGCGACGAAGATTGGGTCTGACAGAGTCACTTGGGTCACACTGGAATGTGCGATTTTCACTTAGTAATTTATATGATGATTTTTTTTTCTCAGCCAGGCTGTGTGAACACAACGGAAATGGATATCAGAAAATGCCGGCGTCTGAAGAACCCACAGAGGGTTAAAAAGGTTCGCTAGTTTAGCTGAATTGAAAATTCTTGATGCAGATAGCCCTTCTGTTTCTGGTACTGTTCAAACAGTAATCTGCTATTTGTTAATTCCACCCCATTTTGTCCTCTGAAACCGCTTCATTCATTCATTTTGCAAATATTTGTGGAGTGGCTGATATGTACTTGGCACCGTTCTTGCTGCTGCACTACGGTGACAAGTGCTCACCAATCCCACAGCCCGGCGGTGCTGGAACACGCGAACAGGCAACAATATCGGGAGGGAAGTACAAGATGGTACAGCAGGGCCAGGAGGGGGGACCCGGGCGGGGGGCTTCCTGAGGGCTTCTAGAGTAGGCTCAGGTGTGCTGAGGTCTGCAGGGTAAGTAGCAGTTGACTCGGGAGGAAAAGAAATGAACAAAAAGTATCAAAATCCCACAGGTGAAGGTGAGCTTAGTACTTAGAAAGTCTTTTATATAGCTAAATCATCCAAATTCAAATCACCATCTTGCTCAACTGTGAATGGGCCAAAGATTATTTGTGTTTCACAGTCCTTGAAGGGGCAGTAGCCATGACATATCCAGGGGTGACACACTCAGTCGGCCCCATGACTGCTGTATCCCAACCTCACAATGGCACCCAGGACCATATTGTAGGAGAACCTGTCAGTCCTCCAAAATATTAATTTCAAAAAGTTAGAGATGTGTCCCCAGACATTCCTATTTCTTTCCTATTTCCAGTCTTTTCATTTTCATTTTCTTACACACACACACACACACACACACACACACACACACCCTGACATATATATCAACTTCTTGAATCTACTTACATATTTTATTCTTTACTGAGATAATTATGCTATTTTTATTGTATCATGACATTTTATAGTGTTAGTCTTAAAACATCCTCACTTAATCTTTAAGGGCCTCCTAATTCTAATATTCCAGAATTTCGTGGAGCTCACATCCACTTCATCTGAGCCCTTCTTGATTTTATAGATTTCAGCTATACATTGCATACCCTCCTGGGTTTTGTTCCATTCCCAAAGCAAGGAGGGTTTTTCATCTGTCTCCAGCACAAAGAATGGCTTAATCAGCAGCCATGGCATGTGGAGAAACTAAGGCCAGAAATCTGTTTGGCTGAAAAGGAAGAAAATCTAAAACTCTGCCCTCTCAAATTTATACTGGATGAACATGTCATCTGCTGGCCAACAGAAAGTCTAGAGGGGATCTTTTGTGCATAGCTCTCAATAGTTATTCTTGAACTTTCTTATGCCCTAGAATCACTTGGGCCATTTGATAAAAGGGCAAAGCCCCAAGCCCCACCCACAGACTCTGATTCGGTGGGTCTGGGGTGGGGCTCAGCTGTGTGCATCTTCACCAAGTACTTCCAGATGATTCTTTGCAGACAGTCTATGGACCATATTTGGAGAAACACTGATATTCAAGGAGACCATTTCAGCTTAGTGACAGGAAAGATTTTCTAACAGTGGTGACCCAAAGAGGGGACAAGCTGCTTCAGGAGGAAGAGCTCCCCTCATTGTAGACATTTAAGCAGCGGCTGATCACTTATTGTCAGGATGTCACAGAGGGGATCGGAAGCATCACATGAGTGCTTGCACGACCTGCCTCTAAGGCCCCCTGCAACTCTGAGTGTGCGTGACTCTATATTCTTCCTTCCTCTCCAGTCAGTGTATGGTGTGACTGAAGAGTCCCAGTCTCAAAGCCCCGTGCACATACCCAGTCAGCCAATCAGGAAAACGACAAAAGATGACATCCGGAAACAGGTGAATGAATTGACTCCCGCACTCCCAGGAGGAGACATGGCCAGTGTGAAAGCCCTTTGAATGCTCACCTCTGAAGGCTGAGTGAGCTTTGAGTTCCTAGAAACCACAGTGGAACCCAGCTGTGGATGACACGAACCTCTGAGTGTGAACAACCGTGGAAGCTCGAGAGGAAAAATTCTCCACCGAAGTCCCCCAGAAGTTAATAGAGAAGGGCATGAAGGAATTGTCCCAATACCTTGGGGCGCTGCTATACTTGGGGTTCCCACAGAATGCTGTGAGGGCTGCAGGGGGGAGGGACTGATGTCACAGAGTCCTTACCATTGTAATGCACTTACAGAGTAAGCCAGCTCAGAGCCACCGACTTTGTTGCTGTGACGCAAAAGGCAAGCTTACAAAGAAAGAAAGCTCAGCTCCTGGGGCCACTGCAGTATTATTTGGTTTCACATTGTCTCCCTTCATGATGAGAAGCTAACCGGTCAACTCGAGTCAGCAGACAACAGCTAATTACATTACTCCTTTCTAGGGTTCACTGGTAATGAAGTAACTTTAGGGTCTACTCTTTACATTATGCTCTACTGGCATCTTTTGGGAAACCCAAAAGAGTGAACTATTAGGTGCCTGCCCTTGACTAGTTTATGTTGCGAGCAGGAGCGTGGCGGGAGAGGAAACAGATGTATGCAAAGTAGCTATTTGATGATTCTAGTCAAGTGCACCAAGCATGTGGGTGTGATGCAGGTGTGAAGGCTGAAATCACCCAAAATTAGTCCAAGTAGATATTTACGGTGCCTGTAAGCATTGCAAAGTTTTGTGGGATGTATATACCACCGCCTTTAAGTTTGCAATCGCTTTGGGGAGTCAAGAGGTAGGCTACAACACAGCACAGGAGAGTACTTGACATAGGCTAAAATTGTGGAGCATGATTCCTGAGTGTGGTGGGAATTTTCAAAAGGGCACATGGCCATTGGAACACAAAGCTGAAGGGCTGGTGAAGGCTGGCCAGAGGAGCTGTTTGGATCTGGATGGAAATACAAGGTTGGGGTTCAGGGGGTTAAGGGGAAAAATTGAATTTGGTCCTAACACCTCTGTTCTATCTTTCCCCAGATTACATTTTTGAATGCACAGATTGACAGACATTGTTTAAAAATGTCCAAAGTGGCTGAAAGGTAGGTTTCCCCTCCATTATATTACTGCTTCCTTCTAATTCAGCAAAGGAGAAATGTCATGGGGGCGTGGCTAACAAGTGTGCACCACGCCAAGAGGCAGACCATAGTCATTTCTTAAACTGACTAGTGAAAAAACCACAGGCTTCGTGCAAATACAGCTAAGACAGCAGACCTCCCTTGAGTGATGTCAAGAAATGCTCAGTTGCGAAAGCTTCTCAGGGGGTGGCCATGGGACCTTGTCAACCTAGGAAGAATGTCCTTAAAAGCTACGTAATGCACTTTTGCCTTCAGACTCTTGATTAATTCAAATGGGATTGCTCCCTTTGCAGCTATAAAACGCCCAGATTCACTTTATAGGGGGAAAGGAATTATGTATGCCCTTTGAGGTGAGGGCCTCGCAAACAGGAGGGGGCCCGGCCGTCTGGAGGCGTTTCACCTCCACACACCATCAGCCACAGAACTGCATCAAATCAACTGTAAAGAAAATATTTGGCACCTCCAGCCTGGCTTCCGCAGGAGCATTTGTGCCGCCCTGGTAGCTGGTTCCACTCCCACTCCGTTTACTCGTGGGAGCCTCCATGTTGTCAACTAAATGGGCTGTTCTTTGAATTCTCAGTGAAGAGGAGAGACACCTGGGGAACCCATCCTGGAATAAATCTGATCAGACAGTCCCAAACTGCACATTTGTTCATCCATATGGTACCATGTAAGCGATGGCCACTGTCTGAGGGATCAAGGGCTTAAGCTGTGGGTCTTAGCATTTATCGGATATCAGAGTAAAGTGGGTCCTTTAAGCCCAGCTCACGCAGGGGTCTGGCTGTGTGTCCACCCTGCTGGCCTTTCTCTGATGGCCCCTGGGGTGGACACCTGCATCTTCTTTCCAGATAAATGACAACAAATTGAGGCTAAGAAAATCCCACTCCCCAAACCAAAACCTGAATGAACACTCTGTCTTCAGGGGGCCAAGGATGTCCCTGGATTTGAGCCTTCATCTCTGATGGCCCCTCGAATCTATTCCAGGACTTCTTGGTGGTGTCGCTATTGACATTTGGGGTGGTCCCGTGCATTTCAGGGCATTTAACAGCATGCCTGACTTCTACCTACTAGATGCCAAAACCCACCAAACAACGGTGACAACAAACTGTCTTCAGACATCACCAGATGTTCCCAGGGCAGGGCCAGGGGGAGGCAAAATCACTCCCGTAAATGTCACTGAGACTCTCGTTTCCTCTAATGCAAGTGCTTTGGAAGGTGGCCGGGGACTGGACCTCAGTTTACACTTAGACACCAGAGCCATGTCTGCAGCTAACTCTGCGGGGCCATGGAGCCACCTCCCCCTCCCCCCACCCCCTGCCCTGCCCTGTCTTAATGCGGGGCTCCCTATGTACCAGGCTTTAAAATTGCTTTTCAGATCTCACTGTGTTTGTCCCAGAGAGTGCCCTTGATGACCTTGACTCCATTGGTGCCACAGCCTGTCAGGGACTCTGAGCTTCTTTGTCTGTGAAAGAGGGACAGGAATGGCTGTCCCTGTGTGCCGGGAGGATCAGCGCTAGTGATGCCTGGCCTTCAAAGGGCTCGTGTGAGAGTTTGTGGTCCAGGGAGAGCATGTGAGGCTGGGGGAAGGGGAGCATCTTGTTGTTCGGGTCCGTGGTTTTGAGCACACAATCCAGGTAGGGAGGAGTTGAGGGTGGGGTTTACCCCAAACCCTAGATCTGGGGAATCAACTGGTGTGTTTTGAATAATCTGCAAGTGGACGGATCAGGTCGCCAAGGATTTGGGGGGAGCCGTGGCCCTGCACGCAGATTGACCTGAGAGCTCCCCGGACAAGGGGCCCCCAGCTGGGTCCGATCTCTGGGGATGTGGGGAAAAGAGCCCGAACCAGTCAGCCTGAAGCCTGAAGGAAGCCCACTGACTCCTGATGGGTTTGCTGGGGCCTGAGGCCATGGGGGGGGGGGGGGGGGGAGACAGTCCAGGTGAGTGGGGAGCCTGGAAGCGCCTCTTGTTTCTTTACTGCAGCCAGGGAGCACCCACCTAGGTGGCATCTCATTATGCCTGAGAGGCTGCCCCCTGGCACCAGAGAGATTATTTCAACCCCCACCCCCACCCCCTCCCATCACTCCCAGCTTGAAGCTCCAGGAGTCTCCGCCCAGCAGAGACTGGATTTTATTCCCAGCAGCAATAACTGGCAACTTTTCAATGTGACACAGGGGTTTTTCATTAGAACCACCAGGAAACTCCCAGATAAAGTGGAGGAGGGAGAGGAGACGGGTGTTAGCAGGAGATAAAGCAGCCTGGAGCCTTGGCCTGTCAGCGGCTCTGCGGGGGTGGGGACAGGGAGGCGGCGGCGCTGGCAGCTGGCCTTGGGCACGTTTGCTCTGCTTGCCAAAGGTGCAGGCTGAGCTGTGTCAGGTGGGCGCACACGTCCCTGCGCGGGTCTGGTTTCCCCGGGCCCTGCTGCAGGTGATGGGTGGTAATTAGCCAGAAGTCGTGAGGCAGAGGACCGGCCCCCTGAGAACAAGGCCGACGCCAGTTTCCGGCCCCCTGTCCCCCGGGTCCCACTGATGGCGGGGAGAGGCGTAAGCACAGGTGATGATCGAGAAGACCCAGTTCTAAAAAATCAGAGGGACGCCTGGATGGCTCAGTCGGTTAAGCATTCGACTCTTGATTTGGACTCAGTCGTGACCTCAGGATGGTGAGATTGAGCCCCAGGTCAGGCTCCTCAGTGGGCATGGAGCCTGCCTGGGACTCTCTCCCTCTCTCACTGCCTGATCCCCCCACCTCGTGCACAAGCATGTGCTGTCTCTCTCTCTCTCTCTCATTCTCTCTGATATATAGATATATATATAAACTTAAGAAAAATAATAATAGGTGCACCTGGGTGGCTCAGTCAGTTAAGCGTCTGACTTTGTCTCGGGTCATGATCTCACGGTTCGTGAGTTCGAGCCCCACGCTGGGCTCTGTGCTGACAACGCAGGGCCAGGAGCCTGCTTCAGATTCTGTATCTCCTTCTCCTTGCCCCTCCCCCATTCACACTCTGTCTCTCTCTCTCTCTCTCTCTCTCTCCTAAATATAAATAAACATTTACAAAAATTTTTTAATAATTAAAAGGTAAGAGTCAGGGATGGGTCACAGGTTATAGCCACATCCAGCTGGGAAGGGATGAGGAAACTGCCTACTGAAGGAGCAGGGCAGAACAATTTAGGGGATGGGTGTGGAGCCTGCCATCGGGGTCAGAATCCTGCCTCTGCCATTTTCTCACTATGTGACCTCAGGCAACTTGTTTCAGCTCTCTGTGCCTCTGTTCTACTTTTTGAAAGGAGAGAGAGCAGTAGCACTTAGCTTATAGGGCAAATGAGTTCATTTATGACCTGAGCTTCGTCCGGTCCTTGACACTTAGTCCATATGCAGTGAATATGAACCATTATTATTATTATCATTATTATTACTATTATTATTTTCTCCTGTGGTGCCTTGGAAAGAAGCAGAATTCAAGTATGCAAGGTAGAATGAACTGGGCTTATGGTGTTCAAAGGAAGCAACAAAGGGCAAGCCAAGGAGTGAAGCTGGTCCGGCAGCTTTGAGCTAATGCAGCTCTGCCACTTGGTCTCCTTTTCGGTCTGCTCCACAGAGAGCCCTGCAGGCTGCCTCCCAAGACTGGCCCTGCAGACCACAGTCTGTGTGTCTGTCCTCGGCTGGCTTCTCTGGCACCACTAATCTGGCACCTGGGAGGAAGGAAGGGCCATACGGGAAGAGTTTGGCTCTCCTGCACAGATCTTCTTGGGTCATCCCAGTTTCAACTGTGACTATTTCGTTTGTCACCATGAGTAGTTAAATGCCAACATCATGGCAGACAGAATCCGTTTCCTGCCATAGGCTTCCTTTTGCAAGGGAAGCAATACAAACACCTGTTTGAGATGTTACCTGACTCTTGCTCTAGATAGTATGTATGGTCCCCACGCCAGATAAAGAACGTTTGACACCTTAAGCTTTTTTTGTTAATTATCTTTTTTATTTTTATTTTTTATTTTTTAAGTAGGCTCCACACCCAGGGCGGAGCCAACGTGGGGCTTGAACTCATGACTCTGAGATCAAGACCTTAGTTGAGATCAAGAGTCAGATGCTTAACCAACTAAGCCACCAAGGCACTCTATAGTAACTATTTTAAACAAGAATCTTTCTTTTTTTAAAAATTGTTTAATGTTTTTTATTTATTTCTGAGAGAGAGAGAGAGACAGCATGAGCGAGGGAGGGTCAGAGAGAGAGACACAGAATCCAAAGCAGGCTCCAGGCTCTGAGCTAGCTGTCAGCACAGAGCCCAACGCGGGGCTCGAACCCACGAACCGTGAGATCATGACCTGAGCCAAAGTCGCACGCTTAACTGACTGAGCCACCCAGGCACCCCAACAAGAATCTTTCTTAAAAATTATTATGCATTTGCACTGGGATACTGGGGCGCCTGGGTGGCTCAGTTGGTTAAACATCCGACTTTGGCTCAGGTCACGATCTCGCGGTTCGTGGATTCGAGCCCCCTTATCCGGCTCTGTGCTGACAGCTCAGAGCCTGGAGCCTGCTTTGGATTCTGAGTCTCCCTCTGTCTCTGCCCTTTCCCTACTCACACTCTCTCTCTTTCTCCTCCCCCCTCAAAATTAAATAAAACATTAAAAGAAAGGACACTATATTTCAGTAAATTTTCCTGATTACTTCTATACTGTGATTTAAAACCACCAGCGGTCAAGGTCTTAGGAAGTGCAACCAAGTGCTCTCCTTTTTCTAAACAGCCCCAGTCCATTGCATCCTTTGAGCCTCTGTTTCTACTTTTTAGTTGTTGATTTGTTTTCTTGTTCCCAGTCAACAAACTGTAGCAGACCAAGTTGTTTCAGTCAGAGTCGCTGAGTCACAACCAACCTCAAAACCTAATGGCTTCAGACAGCAGTCATTTACCACTGCTCATGTGTTCATGTCCTAGCTGGCCCCATTGGGCTTGTTTTGTGTCCGTGTGC